GTAGCAGTAAAAATACTAAACAAAATTTCACAAAAGTTAACAAAAGAAATAAATTAAAAAACTTTAACTTCAAGATAGAAAAGAACATATAATAGCAAAAAAAAATAAAACAAAAAACATAAACATAATTAAAGAAATTACCAAAACAAAAAGCAACAAAAAAAAAAAATGAAAATGAATATAAAGTATGCAATATAGAAAAAGTAAAAAAAAAAAAGAAATATAAAGAAAAAAAAATAACAATGCTTCAAAAAATGTAACAGAAGTACTATTAAAGCAAATATTTAAACATTACTTAATTTACTATATAACAATAAAATATCAACAACTATAAGAATTTCTGCTTATAATGTTTTAAATAAAACAAAAAAAGAAAGAACTAGTATAATAAAATAGATATTTAATGCAAATAGACATATTACAATGATACTGTAGAAGAAGTTTTTATAAAAAATAATAGTTAAATTGAAGTATTATTTGATTATAAAAAAGAAAACAATTAACTAACTAAATTAGAAAAGTAAAAGTTAATTCAAAATAATTTTAAATGAAAAATATGATCAAGTAAAAAACAAGAAAGAACAAAAAAATACAGTAAACAAATACAAAACAAAAAGCAAATAACAAAAAATATATATATATATAAAGAACAAAAAGAATTTAAACAAGAAACATATTAAAACAGAGTAAAAAACAAGACAAAAATAAAACAAAGACTAAGAATTTGTAAACAAAATAAATAAATAAATCAAAAGTACCAAAATATCTAACAATCTAAAACTTTTTTTTTTAAAATATTAAAATAAGTACTTGCAACACAGAATTTTATTGATAATATATTTGGCTAATAGTTACATTACAATCATAAAAGGCAACTATAGAAAGAGTATACAACTAGCCACTTATACAACTTTAGTTATTGTCTAATTTAAGTAGTTTGCCTAAAGGTTCTACACTAGCTGCTATATCTAGAATCTGCTTGTAGGTTCCTTATTTAATTACTCTAGTTTCTGTATCTATCCATTTACCTCTGTCTACCAATGATCTTGGCTGATATTGGTGAAAATATGCTAAGTTACTAAGTCTTTAAAACAGTTTTTTGAAACCTTTGACTTTGTACTAAATCTTGTAGAATTTTCTGTATTTTATTTTTACAGCTGATCTGATATCACTATAGTCAAGATCAACACTAGTGATTAGGGCATACTATTAAACCACTATGTCCTTTTAGAGTTTACTCCAACCTTAGTACTAACTTTACAATATATCTCTACTACTTTGATATTCAATTCAAGTTCTATCAAGCTGTCATTTTAGATAGGCTAAAAAGGTAGACTGTAATTATATCTCTGGTTTATATATTTGTCAGCATGTAATCTTTTTCTTCAAAATTCAAAAATTCTAGTAGCCTGGTTAGTTCATCCAGTTCCTCCTCAAAGACTGACATATTTGTCCAGTTTTACAAGTTCTAGTTCTGTTTAATAGATCTAGTCTTTATAGTAGCATCATCAAAAGTTTGGGTTATCTCTTTACTTGGATCTTTCAAGTAGACTTTTGTCTTTCTACCTAGTTTCTGTAATTTATATGACCTAAGAACTTATCTTGGATTCATACTGCCTAGTACCAGTTTGTGTTTTTTTGTACAATGTTGTATAAGTGTTTAAACCTTTCAGTCATGCTAGTATGACATGAGTTACAAGTATTTAGTTCTAATCAATCATAAAAAACAGTTAATTATAATACAGAAAGAATTGCAAAACTTTGCTTTTACTGTAATTTAAACTCTAGATCTGCTACTTAGAAGTTGACAACCTATCTACTTCACTAGGTTATTACATTCTAATGAAACTTATTATTAAATATTAATAAAAAAAAACTTAAATATATATACAAAAAAATAAAAATTATTATATAGCTTTTGTTTTTCTGGTTTTTATAATTTATATAATTATAGAAACTTATCACAGGTTTATATCACCTAGTATCAGTTTGTGTTTCTTTGTACAAAATACAACTATTGCACAAATGCTATATAATCTTCTAGTTATACTAGTATAACACAAGTAATAGGTATCTGATTTTAACTAATAACAGAAAGCAATTAACTATAATACAAAAATAATTTCAAATTTTTATTAATACTAAAATTTGAACTTTAAATCTTCTACTTGAAAATTAATAATATAACTATTTTACTATATTGCTATATTTTAAATAAAGCTAATATTAATTAAACAATTAACTATTTATTAAATAAAAAAAAAACTTAGAGATATAATAATTTAGTAAAGTAGATAAGTTATTAATCTCCTAATTTATTGATGTTAAAAATTTAGATAATTACTTATATAATATATTATACTTGTCACTCAAATCCCAAACTATTATAGTTTGGGTTTGTTTGTATCCAAATCCCAAACTCAAGCCTAAATTAATATCTCAAAAACTTTATTAATAATCTTTATTTATACAAATAATTTATATTTTTATAACTATATATAATATATTTACAAAATATCAAAATTATTTTGTTAATTTAATTTTTTATAAAACTAATTTGTTTTTTTAAGGTTTTGGATTTGTTCAAGTTTTGCCAACAAGTATATAATATATAAATAATATTATAGTAATAGCATTTTGTCAATTAATTAAAATAAAATACTTGTAATTATAATTGTATTAGTATAATTAACAAATAACAAAGTATTTATATAAACTTGGTTATATAATAAAATACAAATTAGTATAAAATAAGAGGTGTAGTAATCTAGTAAAGTGGTCAGATTATCAACTCTTTAAGTGATAGGTTGGGTGTTTAAATCTTATTGATAGCAAAAATTTAAATAATTACTTATATAATATTCATATTATGACAACTGTTACTAATGATTAAGTTAGAATATTTGTAATTGCAGTTACATTAACATAACTGGCAAGTCATAGTATATCTGTATAACTAGTATATAAAAGAATGCAAACTGATATATTAGACAATGTAAACACTAAATAAGTTTTTGTAATTATGTAAATACATTAAAATTAAATAACAAAAAGTTCATTTAAGAAAATCTAAGTAAAAAAATAACCAAATCTTTAATAGTCTTACTATAAAAACTAGTTTAAGAAAACAGATATCCAGATTGTAGTATTCAGTTATAGTACTCAGATAGGCAAGAACCTTTAGATTAGAAATCTCAGAGAAACTACTAATTAGACTATTAAAATAAACTAGTAAAAAAGAATATTAAGTCAACTTACTATATCAATAGACTGATCATAGTCCTATATGGATTATCTGAATTGAGAGTTTAGATAAAAGGCAAGGATATACTAAAGTACTAGGATTATACTGTAAAATAAATATTGGAGTTTGTGTAAACTCTACAAGAACATAGCAATTAAATAATATAACTCTAATCACAAGTATTAGTTCTGTTATAGTAATATTAGATCAACTATAAAATAGGTGCAAAAGACTTTAGAGAGTTACTTTAAGAATAAAATAGTTCTAAAATTGAAATAATGATTTAAGCTTAATCTAATAATGTTAACATAAATTGCAGATTTAAAAAATTTAAATAAAACATCCAAGCAAGAGTATTAGATATAGCAATTGATAGAAAACCTTTGGATGGACTTCTTAAATAGATAATATAGAAAATTATATATGTAACTAATTGTATGTTCTTTTTTAGTAGTTCACTAAATCACATTACCAAAAAAGTTATTAATAAAAGTCAAAAGACCAAAGAAATTATCTTAATACTAAAAAAAAATAAATAAATTAGTACAGTGTAATATAAAATTAAGATAAATCTTTATAATTATATAAATCTGTAAAACTGAAAAAAACTTAAGTAAAAAGATAATACAGACTTTAACAGTACTATTATAAAAGTTAAACTAAAAAAATAAATATTAATATAAAAAAATCAAACAAATAAGAACTTCTAAATAAGAACTACTACTAACCAAACTGCTAGATTAAACTGAAGAAAAAAAATATCAAATTAAACTCAATATATTAAAAACAAGTTACAATTCTTCTGAACTATCTGAATTAAAAATTTAAAACCAAAACAAAGATATATTAAAGTACTAAAAATATTTTATGAAATAAATACTAAAATACAAATAAACTTTACAAAAATAAATCTTTGTTATAAAATAAACAAGTAATTAATAAAAAAAATCTTTTGAATTTTACTAACAAATATTATGCTTTAAAATATATAATAATCTAAATACTAATTCAAAAAAAAAATATTATATTGCTTAAATAGTATACTGATTAAATATATATGAAAGATTTGTAATAATAGAGTAATTAATAAAACAGATAATTATAAGATTTAAATAAATAATCTTCTAATAGATTATAAATACAACATCTAAAATAAAACTCTAAAATGAACTATTTAAATAAACAACCAAAAGTTATACATATAACTAACTGTACTCTTATTTCTGTAAAAATAGGTGTAATACTAACCCCAACAAATTAAGAAAATAACCACCATAAAATATAACCTTTAACAAAAAAAAAAAACTTCAAAAACAAATAAGAATAAATTAGTGCTTATTTTAAACATTTGAACAGTATATACCAAATTTTTTCTTAGCATTATTCTCATTAAATTAATGCTAAGCAATTTATATTAATTACAAGACTTGAAAATTTTATAGTAAATACCCTTAGGCATATATTATGAGTGAACATGCTTATTTAAGCAGCGGTTAGAATAAAACCCTAGCCATGGCGAAAACTAAGTATCGGGTCATGTGACTTACGAAGCATCCGATCTGATATCTAAAATTTCACGTTATACCAGATCCTGGATTTTGATTGGTGGATGGTCATTCAAAGAGTCGGAAATCACATGACCGAATACCTCGTTTTCGCCATGGCTAGTTAGAAAAAGAACTTTCAAGACTTCATTATATATCATAAATTAAATTACATGAAAATTTATGCAAGATATATATCCAACCAGAAATTATCACCAGTATACCTTTTTTTTAATCTGAGTTTTTTTATCATCGATAAGTTTTGCTACCTCAACAGGATCTAGTCCTTGCCAATCCGTATGGTTTACCAATGGAAGAGGACGTCCATCTGCCCAAGAAGATTTAATAATTATATACCGTTTATTTCGTTTGTTTGGTAACGTGATGGTAGACGGACAGTTGTTTTGATTTCCAGAGGTATCAGGACCAAAATTTGATAAATGTGTTGACTCGGTACCTTCTTTCATGACAGGTATCTTTGTTAAAAGCCTCTGATATAACCGCCGTATAAAGCGGGGCCTCGGATTATGAGGTTTGGCAGTACGATATGGTCCTTCTTTCACAGGATCACGCGGACTTTTTGGCGTTCCTGTATTTCTAAGAGTTCTCAATCTGTTTTGCTCATCATTATGATTTCTTGATGGTATACACCTATTTGCAACACCTTGTCCTGTTAGGATACCTTTTCCAGCATTTTTTTCTAACTGATCTAATGTGACATCGTCCACAGGTGGCATAACAGTTTTCATGATCTTAGAATAATGTCTCCACAATAGGTTCGCTTTTCGTGACGGGTATAAAGGTTTATGTTTTGGTACTGGTAGCGTAGGATAAAGAGTTTTCGTTTGTGATAACAATAATGTTTGAAGTGATGGAGACATTCGTGGTGGGGCAGTTCTTGGAAATCCCCGAACAATGGGCTTGGGAGCTTCGCTCGGTTCGTTTATAATGGGCTATTGTTGTTGAGATACAATCACTTCCCGAACATCACTTCCAGATACAATTATTTCCCTTACAATAACTTCAACACTTTCGTTTCCCAAGCCAGGAAAATATTTGGAGGTGAGTCAATAATAAATTTTTTTTTTAATTTTTGAATAAAAATAACAAGACTTTAGCCAAATTTGATAAAAAAATTTTTGAATTAACTTTATAAACTTATAAAATTAATGTAAATTAAATTTGATTAATTTTTATAAAATTATAAAAAGTGTTATTAAAAAAAATTTTTGCTTGGCTCTCCCCCATTTGTTTCGGTGAAGTGATTGTCTAGAAAATAATTGTTGAGGAAATGCTTGTTTCGGGAAATAATTGGGACGTTGTTGATGTGTAAATAATAAGTCTTTCAATAATATCCTATCAAATATAAATCTCAAACCTTAAGCAATTGATGTCTCATAGGTCCCCTCCTTCCATATGTCAACTCCAAAACGCGAGTAACAGATTTGATATCAAATACATTAGCTCTCTTCAGCCTGCTTAGCGCCTGACAATTGATAAAATTTCAGGATAAAACCAATTTAATCGACGTATATGAAGTGCGTTCCGTTCAACACGCTTAAGTAAAAATTATTCAACCTGACGAGCATCAGCTAATTTATTTAAAATCCTAGTTTCGTCAGTTTCGTCCTTATATTCTTTAAATCTCTTGCGAGTTCGATTTTTTAAGAATATTCTAACGAATCATTAATGATGTAAATTAAAAAATCCACTTTATGTCAATCAATGCATACTTCGCATTATCATCAAAAAAATTCGACGATTCTTTGAGAATGTTTCTGTAGAGTGAAAGAACTTGATGTCTTCGAATTACTTTATCCATAATGATAAAGTTTAAACAACGGCAGGGTGCAGTCCAAAATTTCCGGGAGTCACGTGTATGATCATCATTTCGTGTATTACCAATAGGGTGACTGGCATGCGCATAACTTGGTGTCATAACGGCAATGCCGTTACACAAGCCGGTTGTAACTCGTAATGGCATACGGCAAAAGTTGTATGTCGTATCTTGTGTCGCAACCTAAGTGATAATTTCAGGTGATATATTTTTTTGCCAATCAACTCTTTTTATAATACAGACGTAGAATTTATTTTAATAACAGGTTATCGTTATACAGTTTATTCTACTATTAATCATTTAGTTGTTCTAAAAATCGAGCCACCAAATCCTCCGGTGAATAACTCATATTTCCGGCTTGCAAATTGTAATCATTGTTGGTATTTAACATTTCTCTTTCACATTCTAAATAATTTTGTGTCAAATCTACAATATCGTCAATTACTAAAGTCTCTTGTTCTATTTCAGCATAGGACAATTCATCGGAATCAACCATATCATCGTCACTCTCCAAGGCCATTACCTTAATGGTAATAAAAAATTTTAACCGATTTAAGTATGATAATCAAAATCTAATCTGGGTTAAAATAATTTCTATATGTAGACATACCTTTCCAACAGTTGAAGAATTCACAATTTCACGCAACTCTGCTTCGGTAAGTTCTCTTTCAAAACATGTTAATTCTGATTTGATATTCACCATATAATATGATTGGATTTTTGATATACCTTCAAGTTTACTATCACCTAATCTTGTTCTTCTATCTTCAATTATCCATTTTAATGCAGAGAAATTTTGCTTACAATTAGCTTGTGTTGGAGGGATAGAAAATAACTGACATGCTAATTCTGTCAAGTGATTAGGTTTTGTTTTAATAGAACCCCACCATAAAATTGGTGTGTTCATTTCAGTATAAGGTAAATCAAATAGTGGCAATTTTGCATCAAAAAGTCAAAGCTGAGTAATTAACTCTCTACTTTCTTGTTCTGTTTACTTTAGGCTTTTCCACAAAGAAGTAGTGATAAGTGCTGCCTTTCTAAATCCATCATTCTTAAGCCCAAAACCATAATAATTAGGATGAATATAATATGATAAAAGGTAAATCAGGTGTTAAAATTCTTTAAATCATTGATTAAATATATTAATAGCTGCGACTTTAAAGGGATTTGTTGTTGAAATTTAATTAATTCTAACTGCAAGTTTAATTAAATAATTAAAACAATCAGTTAAATCAACATTATTAGCTTCAAGACTATAAATAATTTCTTTAATTGAAGTTCAAATACTTCTAACTTGTCAACAAGTAGAAAAAAATTTATTGTTATTTAGTAAAAAACAGACATCCTTATTGGTAATAATCTTGGAATATTTAGCTAAAATTCAATCAAATATAGGATGAGCTTGAAGAATAGAATCAGTAGTAAAAAACAAAGATGCCCAACATGTTTTATACCATAAATGAAGACCTTTAGAATTAATTTTCATTTGGTTTAAACTTTGGTGCAAATATGAACTGCCTCTATGCGATTCTTTAAAAAATTTTACGATTTTATTACATTTACTAATAAAGGTTTTAATATTTTCTAATTTAACTAGATCAGAAGCAATTAAATTAATCGCATGTGCTGTACAATGAATATCTCAAATATATGAGTAGGTTTCTTGAATTTTTCTACAGACATATTTGCAATTTGTTGCTGCATCAGTTATTACTACAGTAAATTTTTTACTTCTAATATTATTAATTAAATTAAAAATTTCATTTGTTAGAAATTCTCCCGTTTGTGTTTCTGAGGAATAATTTTTTAGTCATAAAATATCCTTTTCTGTTCATTGTAGTTATGATATAATTATAGAGTGAATCACCATGTATGTAAAGTCCAACTATCCAAAATAAGAGTAAGATTATTATATAATTCAAGCTCTTTATTAATATTATTTGTTATTCGTACAATTTCTTCATTTAATAGGTATTCTGAAAGTGTTGTTCATGATAATCAAGTATATCTCAAATTTAGGTTTTTTAGAAAATCTTTCATAAAAGAATTTTCTATTATATCAAATGAAATCCCAGTTATGATCCAAGCTTAAAGAAGAGATTGATCAATCTGATTATTAATATTATAAGAAAGAGATTTAGGTGAACACTCAGAAATATTTTGAGTATAATTATTAACTTCATTAGCTAATCTCTATTGCCAATAAGTACTAATTTTATTAGGATAATTTTTACAGTAATTTGCTAAATGAGCCTTCATAAAATGAGGTCTACCATGTGCTCAGAAAGAATCACAGTGGCAGCATTTTGCTTTATAATGGTCTTGTCCTTTACTTTTATCTTTAATAAAAAATCATCAAATTTTATTGAAATTTGGACTACTAAGTTTTTGTTTTTTATTAGGTTGGTTATCATTAGAAATGTTAAAGTCATTGGAGATTATTGAACTTTCATAACTTAAACTCATAGTTAAAATATGTTTTATTTTAAAAATAGAAATTTTAAATATTTTTTTTATAACTTTGTAACAAAAAAATTACATTTAATTTAATAAACTATGCATCGTAATGATAAATACATTTAATTTACATAATAATAATAACTACATTTAATCTAATTAACTACACATAATCATGAAAATTCATATCATAATAAATAATATAAGTGTGCCTTATGACAAGATTATGCGCAAACTGCTACTTGGAATAAAAACAATTATTTCAAATTTATACTATTCAGAAAAATATTTGTCAGCATAGTTATTTTACCTTTTGACTTAATGTAAGAATCCATAAATTGCTACAAAAAATAACACTAACACTGAACATGGGTCTAAAGACAATATATTATATATTAACATTGAACAAGTTAAGTTACAACTTGTGGCATAAATTATGACCTACAATATAAGTTATAACTTATGATATAAGTTATGACCTCTGATATAAGTTACAACCTTTGACATAGGTTACTACTTACGGTATTATGACAAAAACCATAATGGTTATGGAAAAAGTTGTAACTGCCGCTACGGAATTATGACTGCAACTCTACATTGGGTATAACAGAAGTTTGATTTTATTGGTTGCAAATATGCAACCTGATGATCATATATTATTAAATTTTGATTAGCTAATTAAAATTATAAAAAAAAAAATTTATTAAAAAATTGATTTTCATATAAAGTTTATTGTTGTTTTTTCAACTATAGGTTAAGGTAAAACTTATATTGTTTGCACTATTATGCCATCTATTAAAATAAATAATAGACCTTGTGCTATGCAGGACTGTAATAAGGAATCAAATAAGTTTTGTAGTATTATCTTTTTAGCATATAAAAAGGCATATAAAAAAAGAACTTTAACCTGATTGGCATTTACCAAAAAAACCTTTAACTGAAAAAACACTAAATAGAAATCTTGTTTTAGCAAATAATAATAAATTTGAATTTGCAGAGCAAATTTAAATTCTTATTAAAGTTTTATATAAAATCTAACAAAATTAACCTGATTATATTGAGCTTAACTCTATCTGATTTCAGCTTATAATTGAAAATGCTGATTATTATTATTTTTTTTTTTGGTATTAAGATGACCTCTTTGGTCTTTTGACTTTTATTAATCACTTATCAATATTGTGGTTTA